ACAACAAACAACTTGCAACCAGATAACAGCAGCCACATCTCACTAGCATAAATTGCTGTAAGATCTTATATTATAAACAGTTTTAAGAATATAAATAAAGTGTACGCATTTCGGCGTAGTAATAAAAAAATATTTTTTTAACTCATATCGTGAAAGCAATATTAACTGGGGGCTCAAGCCGGTATAACCCTTGACTGCAGGCAAATATCTTCAACCTACAGGATAATAAAATAAAAATTCCACGGCTTTGAAGAAAAGCATAAAACCAATCTCTGAAAAAGTGAGATATAATAAGTTCATACAGTCGCGTAAAAGGCTAACCTTGAAATAGCAGGCAGAGTAAACCTATAAAAAGTGAAAAGCGAAATGAGAAATTCCTGGCTTCAAAGAGAATCCTTCACGCTGGACACACGTAACAAACGCCAACAAAGTTCAATTCTAGATATGCGCTCAATGCAACAAGACGATACAATGGCACTGGGGCCCTATTCTATAACTCGATTCGAAAATAAATTTGCTCGAATTCGGATTTTTTGTACTTGGTAACTCTATTTTCGCATTTGCAATTCTAATTTCGAATAGTATATTAGAAAATCGAAAACTGGCAACTATGTAACTCGAATTTGAATGTCAAATTCATTCGATCGTCGCAAATAATACTCGTTAGCGTTTGAGCTGTAGAAACGGAATACTATTTGAAAAATGCAAGTATTTTAATAATTTTTTATTAAGTATAACAACTATAAACGTAAAATATTTTTCAATAGGGATTCATCCAGCAAAAGCCAGCATACAAAACAAAGCCAATTTGGAATTATGGTGGAATTCATGGAATCGCATCCAAGTTTGGCCAAAGGCTACATAAAGTGCGCTGATGCTAAGCAAACTTCCAAGAATTTGTGGGGACGGCTGACGGAAGAGTTCAATGGAGATGGACCACCTACGCGGGATGCATCTTCATGGAAAAAGGTAATTTTAGTGTGAGCCAAATAATGTTAACTCTTAAAGCTGCAGCAGGAGCCGCGCGTCGTATGACCTATCAAAGTACCGTTTTCAAGGTATAACGGTTATGATAAATAGCCGTATGCTAATGAACCACTCAATGAAGTACAGTTTTAATAAAGCAAAAGAAATTAAATTTTAGCAAATGTTACATTTGAAATATATTAAAAAACAACAAAAAATATAAACGCATTTAATTTATGTAATGAAAAAGAGTATTTTTTAAACATACGACGGCACTATGAATGGAATTTCGTTTATTATTAACTATTATTATTATTTTTTATTTACATATTTAAGGTTTGGGCGGATTACAAGACCCACCTCAAAGCCAAAGTGCGCAAAAATAAGTTGCACATGTCCGGAACTGGTGGTGGCCCTGCAAAAATTAGTTCCCTTAATTCGGTGGAGTTAAGGGTAATGGAGTTGTTGCAAATAAATGAAGCAGTAAATGGAATAGCCGGTGCTCAAAAATTCGGTGCAGGAAGAAGTGAAGCCACAAACAGCAACGAATGTAAAACTGCTCCAACCACTCCGAATTATGCAACTGATTTGCAGGATCGTGCAGAACTGCCACCTTCTACTCCTCCTTCCTATTCCCAGGTGTCACCCAATTGCAGTACGGTGCGGTCCCGAACTCAAAGCAAAAGCAATCTTTTGAAGATGCAAGTGGATGGGCAAAAAAAATTCCACAAAGATTGTACTCGCATTTTAAAAGACGTCAATTACAATTTAAAATCAATAGCAAAAACAAATAAGACATCTGTGGAACAAATGGAAGAGAGAATAGAAATAGAGAGACAAAAACTTAAATTCGCAAAATTAAAACATGAATACAAAGTATAAAGCGACATGGAGAGAAACAAAATTAGAATTTCAAAACTTAGACTGAAGCAACAGCTGCTAGATGTTAATACACGTAGAGATTAATATACATACATATCAAATATTTGCCTCGTAAGTACATATGTACACTTGAAGAAAATTTTTATGTTTATTTTTATATATAAATACATATGTATGTAATAGAACCACAAACATATTCATATATTATTCTCAAATAAATAAATAAAGAAAATGTACTTGTTGTGAAAAGTTCTTTAATTGCATTGATTTACTACACATATTTACGAAATTTAAATTAGGAAACCAAGCTATTTTTAATTCGGTCTCGTACTGTTTGTGCAATACGTAAAAAATCGTTCTCTTCTATATCGGAGTTGGTCGATAAAGCTAAATTTGAGCCTTCTTCATCGCTCTCAATAACAGTTGGTGGTTCAACATTATATGTAAGGCAAATGTTATGCAGTGCACAACAAGCATTTAAAATTTTTACTACTTTTTCGGGTGTATAATGAAGCTCTCTTTCAGCAAGTAGGCAACGAAAGTGATCTTTTAAAATTCCAAACACTCGTTCTATTATCGATCGCGCTTTGGTAAACCTTTCATTATATACCATTTCTGGAGAATTTTCTTCTGCGTTACGGTAAGGTGTGAGGAGCCATGGCTCTAATGGATATCCAGAATCACCTTCAAAATAGAAGATAATGCATGCAAATTTGTAAAAACCGGTACGTTTTGGAATATAAAACAGATTATATAAGAGTTTGTTACAGAGTACTGTGCTACTAACAGGATTTTTACACCATATGCATTTACATATGTAAATGCTACTTTTTTGTATGTACTCGTATGTACCATATATTACATTAGGGCTATTCGCGATTCGGTGCATAAGAGCTGACAAATTTATGCAATTGCAGAAATATGCCATGGATTGTGAGCGACCTTTATTAAACTGTCATGGTAAAGCTTTTGCAAAACAATTTTTGTGCATCAGCTTTGGTTTTGTTTATGAATGCAATGCATAGCATTTTTATGCTATGGATTTTCGGTATTGCAAATTTGCCAAGCCATGACAAATGCAAATGCGTGTATTTTGTTTGTGTATTGCAAATAATTTGCAATACAAATTTGCAATGCAATGATGCTAGGCCATTTGCACCGGATCGCGAATAGCCCTATTGTATCACAAAATTAGCATTTACATATGGAAATATATATCGTGTAAGATTGCTTTAAGTGATACAAGTACATATGGATAAAGTCACCTACCAATTATCCAAGATGATTTGTCTCCATTTTGGTATTGGGCTTTTATATATTGTCGTTCGTTTGACAAGCTCCATACATGAGAATCATGAGCCGCTCCACCATAGACTCCATTCACAGCTCTTATGTACATCTTGTGATCACAAATCTAATAAAAAAATGTTATGAAATGGTATGAACAAAAACTTGTAAGTATTAAAAACTTACCACCATTGCATTGATGCTATGCTTTAGCTTCCGGTTCATCCTTTACCGGCCTAACCATATGGGATATGGGTTCCATCAACAGCACCTATTATTCCTGGTAATCCAAATTTTGAGTAGAAATGGTTTTTGGATTCACGCTTTTCTTGCACGGTCATTTCAAATTTTATGTGCCTCGGACATAAAGTTTTTTCAATCGCATTAACTACTTCCGTGATACATTTAGAAGTCGTGGATTGCGCTAATCCTGCGAAACGGTCTTGCCCTATTTGGTGCTGATAGCCCCCTTGTCCCAGAAATGTTAGAGTAGCAGCAAGTTTTACTGTCGGAGTTACTGCCGTAGATCTTATAGGTGCATGTAATTCGTGTTCTATGCTCCTCAACACATAACTGAAGGCATCCTTGGAAAGCCGAAAATTTTTTATGAAGCTATATTTTCAAATATATAATCATTAATAAGTTAAATTTATAGCCGGTTATATTACATATGTATGCATTTACCTTCTTTCCGATAATTCATCAATATTAAAATGATCTCTTATAGCCCTTCTTGCATTTCTCTCTTCATTAATTTCTTCGTCCATCCACAATGCAACAGAATCCATTTTTTGTTTGTTGATAAAATGAATAACAATTGTTTAATTTAAATTATGTAGTTGTTTACTTGTTTTCCTTCTACGTATTTTGACGTTTGACATTCGAAAATTCTGGCACAGGGTGGCACAACTTTCGCAAAACTAGAAACTCGATCCGAAACTTTTACAGAATGCTAAACCAAATTCGACTCGAATAACAAATTCGAATAGAATCAACTTTCGATTCGAGTTACAGAATAGGGCCCCAGGACTCGCAACTCTACGAGCACAGGTAGAAATACAAAGGCTCTAAATAACACACAATTAAAGGCTTGATTACACATATGCTGATCAACGACCATTGTATGTACTTCTGGAAGAAAATTACACAAGGAACACGCACATAATCGGAATTTCACAGCGAAATCAGCAGAGCACTGAATCTCTCACTCTCAAAGATAGAGATGTCAGGAGAACAAGGACCTGCATCCATGTTAGAATATGCAAGCCAAGAAGCAGTCCATACTTTCATCACAGGACTCAACAGCAGGTATACAAGCGGCACATTATACAGTCATCACCCAAAAGACTTAAAAACCGCATATGCAATCGCAAGCACGATTTATAACGACGATACGAACATGCAGTTCGACGCACAAATTACACCACAAAGATATAACCAGCGACAAAATCCTCAACAACAGAGATATGATGATAGAAGGAGATATAACCCAAATGTGCTGGTACAATATAACCTCCAACCACGCCAAGAACCAATGGAAGTAGATGACTCTCGTCAACACGTGCGACCAACACAATACAACAATCAACCCCTCCTAAGGAACAACTGTCAGCAATCTCAACGATTCAATAACCCGTTCAGAGAAGATCAACAAGCAGCAAAACGCGGAAAAACTCCTTCTTCAAGAAATTACAACACCAACGAGGTACAACGAATAAACCAGACGAGTGATGAAGACCTACAATCACTCGCCCCCACATACTGATGATATCTACGAGAGGGGAAGTGCTTTTTTTTTAGGAGAATAAACGAATTACCGTGTCTCCAAAGGCGGTGTCAAACGACAGGTATATCCGTTAATATTTTAATTGATACAGGTGCGACAAATAATTACATTAGTTCTAAGTGTAAAGTAGGAGAATCTATACCCATAAAACCGGTTAAAGTTAAAACGCTTCATGGATACTCTTTAACCAAAGCTATGAAAATTATTACAATACTCAATCATAATTTAGTTTTTTTTTTTTGAAACCGAAGCTTTAGAGGAGTTCGGTATGCTTCTGGGTGAACACGGTCTTAGGGTCTTGAAAGCAGAAATTAACATTTTCGAGTATAAACTATCATATAAATATAAAAAGCAAGTAAGCGACCAAAAGGTGAATTTCACAATTAATAACGACATGCATAAAACTGAAATTGAAAATATCATGACAGAATCAGAAGATCCTATTTGGGTGAAGCATTAACCGTATCCGATAGCAGACAATGAATTTATAAACAAAGAAATAGATAAATTGTTAGATAACCAAATTATTCAACCTGGCAAAAGTCCTTACAATTCTCCAATCTGGGCCGTCGCAAAAAAACGTACCGATAACGAAGGGAAACCTAAAAGACGAATGGTAGTAGATTTTCAGAAGCTTAACGCTCAGACTATCACTGATAGATATCCTATCCCAGATGTTGCTATGACAATTCAAAATCTAGGTAAAGCAAAGGTTTTCACAACGATAGACTTAGAGTCAGGTTTTCACCAAATCTTGATAAAAAAAATCAGACAGAGATAAAACTGCATTCAGTGTGAATGGCACAAAGTATGAGTTCCTTAGGATGCCGTTCGGTTTAAAGAGCGCGCCTTCTATATTTCAGCGATGCGTAGACGATATCCTACGTCCATATATTGGCAAGTTCGCATATGTTTATATTGACGATGTACTCATATATTCCTCCTCACCCGAGGAACACATGGAACATATTCGTACAATAGTAAACGCACTTCACAATGCCAATATGAAGATTTCAAACGAGAAATCGCATTTTTTCCAGGTTTCAGTCGAATACCTCGGACATATAATAAAATATAATAAAATAACTGTAGATCCAAGTAACATTCAAACTGTAAAGAATTATTCAACTCCAAAAAATTTAAAAGAATTACGATCATTTCTTGGCCTAGCGAGTTATTACAGGAAATTTATACAGAATTTCGCTGCAATAACGAAACCTCTAACAACATTTCTACGCAGAGACAATGGTGGTGTAAGTAAAAATCAAAGCGCAAAGGTCTCAATTAATCTAGGCGAAACAGCACTTGAGGCTTTGATAAAAATAAAAGACGCACTACAAACACAAGTTGAATTATTTCAACCAGACTTCAGCAAACCTTTTGAACTAACGACGGGCGCAAGTAACTTTGCAATAGGAGCTGTACTCTCTTAGAACAAGAAACCTATTTCCTTTATATCTAGAACTCTTAGCCAAACTGAACCAAATTACAGCACGAATGAAAAGGAATTACTCGCTATCGTTAGGTCACTTCAAAAATTAAGAAATTACCTATATGGTATAGCAGATCTAACTATTTATACAGACCATCAGTCACTCATCTTTTCGATTTCGGATAAAAATCCGAACACTAAACTAAAACGATGGAAAAACTTCATAGAAGAATACGGTGCTAAATTAATATATAAACCAAAGCATCAAAACGTTGTCGCTGATGCATTGTCTCGCCAACAGATTAACAACACTTTAAGTTCCTCACAACATTCAGCTCAAAGTTCACCAATAAAAAAATTGAAACGCGTAAAACAACCATTAAATACATTTAGAAATCAAATAGTCATAAACTACAGTGCAACCAATTTAGTGGAAATCTCTTCGCAAAATATTTTTTCGTATTCACGACACACGCTTTTTTATTCGACTAAAGAAGAATTAATTGATAGACTGAAAAGAATAATAAACCCAAAGCTAACAAATGCTATAAAAATAGATGAACAAACTCTATTCCACATAGAAAATGACATAATTTCAACGTTTCCAAATACCCCGATCGTTTTAGCTCAGAAAATGACGGAAGACATAAACAGACAAAAATAAATCATAATACAAACACGCAGATGTGCACATAGAAATTATAAAAATAATGCAAAAGAAATACTGACTACATATTTTTAGCCAAATTTACGCCAAATGTGTAAAAAAGAAACACAAGATTGTGAAATCTTCTTAACAAACAAATACGAACGCAGACCAAACAAACAACCAATTGGAGCCGCACCAATACCAAACCACGTAGGTGAACACATGCCCAGCAAAACCAACGTGACCGAAACTCCAACACAAACGCAAATTGTATGCTGTTACTAACACACATGTAATAATTTTTGATTGGAGTGCCATCTATTGTTTTTTTCTTGCGAGGTATCTTTCGCATATGAGTAAGTAGTCAAGCTAATCTTTTCACATATGAGCAAGCAGGCAAACTATTTGGTTTGAAAAATCACACGTACACAAAACTTCTGGGAGCATTTTTGATTCACTATTAAGAATGTGATAGCAAAACGTGCCGACATTAATGGGCACGCGTGACGGTCACGTTACTAGAAAAGTGGCCGTCACTGTTCTTGCTGGGTACATTTAGACTTATTTCACATGAACTTGAACACATACATCAGCACAACTGATAAAACTCAAAGTACTTATACATACGGGAAATCCCAAGTAAAAATAATACATACCAATACATTGACGAAATATTATCACAGATTAACCCAAACGCCAAGTATGTAATGGCAGATACCTACGGTGACCATCCGTTCTGTTTTTTGCAGGACCGTACTGTTTTTCAAAGGTCGGTCCTGCGTAGTTTTTCAAACCTGAAAAACCTGAAAATGTACTGATTTTTTCCAAGTGTCCTGCATTTGTCCCGCATTTTATTCGTTATTTTAAAATTATCGGACAATGGATGGATTTTTTCAAAAAAGTGTTTTTTGGGTGCTTTTCGTAGCTTCTCTTCAATATCTCATGAAAAAATCTCCCAATCAACGTAAGCGACTTACAGATCGAAGGGTATTGATGTGCCTCTTACTAAAATATATAACTTGTGGCGACTTCAATGAAAATTATTAGTGCTACAGGCGACCATTTGCATTTTGTCGTCAAAGTCGAAAAAAGTGAGGTTTTCAATCAAATACGCAGTTTCATTTGATTATTTTTTTTCATTATTTTAAAAATTCCATAAAGAAGATATATCACTACAGTAAATTTTAAGCCAAAGATAATGAAAATCGGATTAGAAATGTAAATGCTATGGAGAGCAATCTGCACAAATTATATATTTTTGTAAAGGGCACTTTGTAACTCGTCGTTTATGTCGATTCATGATCTCGATTTTTGACAAATGACTGCGAAAAGTACCAAAAAAAAAAAAAAGTTTACTGTTTTCGTTTTGAACGACTCAAAATTTGCCTATAAAATAATCTTTTAAAGATTTTCACTTTTCGTGTAAACTATTTTAATTATAATATGTTTTACTATACTTTTATAAATATTCATGTAAAAAAGATTAAAATCGATGAAGAAAACGTGATTCATATTTAAAGTTTAAAATGTATTAAGAATTTAGAATCATAAATACTCTTTTGATATTTTTATACTACGGAAATAAATGTAGTCATATTTTTGAAAAATTGTCCTTCATTTTGAATCCATATTTATGCTCACCGTACAGATACCGAATCAACATTCACGGGCATATGTGCGAAACAAGTCTACGAAAAACTACAAATAGTACATTACACCAACATTCATTCGACAACCAACGGTCAAGTTGAGCGTACACATAGCACCCTGATCGAACTCGCTAGAGTCCTAGCACAGGAACATAACCACTCACCGGAAGACGAAATTTTTAACGCGGTACGACAATACAACAAAACAATTCACTCAGTCACAGGAGAGAAACCCGAGGACGTGTTCTTCAATCGAGGAGGGTATCCTGACATTCAAAAAAAACTCGAAACAAATCAAAACAAAGTGCTTTCATACCATAATAAAAATCGTAAGAGTATCACTTACTCCAAAATACACCGTAGAAACAAAAAGGTACGAAAATACGCGAAACATACAATAAAATAACACAGAGGTGACACAATACTTACAAATCGTGGTCCAGTTATACACAAAGACAATATACGAGTGCAAGCATGCAGAGAATAATAATTTTATTTTTAACCTCCACCACCCTCTGCGACAGTATAATTGATTTAAAGGACAAAAAATACGTAATGATAGAAACCGACCCAGTATACGTGTACCACGACACTTTATTTTTATATCATGTAGCAAACAGTTCAAAAATATTAGCACCCTATGAGAAAATAGTACGATCTACTTACAAATTCGAACAGAACTCAGTAGATCAAATATTAGTCAACAAAATAGAGACACTTAAGTCACAATTACTTCCTAACATCTTTAGGGCTAGACGTTCACTTAACTTTCTAGGGTCAGCTCTTAAAATTATTACGGGTACACCCGATCACGATGACTTAATCGAAATTAAGACAGGATTAAATATGCTGATAGAAAACAGTAACAAACAAAAGAAAATAAATTCACAGTTTGAAAGAATTTTAGAGACTCTCGATCCTAAAACTATAACAAATGATTTAGTGATGACCGAAGTATACAACGAACTATCCTCTGTCGCTAATACAATTAATTTTGCAAAAAATAGAAACTTCTACGCAGGAACTCTAAACTTAAAGGATATTCAACAAATAGTATCCTATGAAGCATTAGACTCAC